TCCAGGTCTTTCTCGGTCACCCTCTCGCCTTGTTTGCCATCGAATTCAGTGTCAGCCATCTGTTGAAGTTCTCCAGATAGGTTTCTCTGAGCTTGCCCTTGGGTGGTTGACGGGTGCTTTGGTGTGGTTTGCTCCTTCTTTCCCATCTAACATCTTTCGTCTATATCTCCCCACCTTTTTGTGTATGTTACTCTCTCGTAACACCTCTTATCTTCGGCACTTATATGGTCGCTTTTCAGAACAAGCGGCCTAACCTAGATTTCTGGGGTTTCCAAAAGTGGGCATTGTCCTACCTATAGGAGAAGTTTGGTTTCGTTGGTGTGTATATTTGTTTGGTTATAGAGAAAACTCTCCTTGTCTTTTAAAGGAACTGAACTAGGGGCAAAAACTTAACTTTCGATTTTCTCAAAACAACATTTTTCGGGATAGCCACCTTGTGCTTAAAAGCGACCATATATGACCTAATTATGTTGCGAGTGCCGTAAAACTTACGAAAACGAAGTCTACCTCTGCTTCGTCTGCCGTCTTTTTTTCTGTGCGAGCAAGATCTTCCAAGCCTTTGTGTCGAGTCGAGTGTCCATGGAACTGCACATTAATTATTTTGTCGCTTCCCAGTTGTACATATCAGTGATCAGCCGGCTCACATTGGCTTCCTTCAGCACTTCCTCGCTTGGTTTGTTTTCTAAAAATAGAATTCTCATGTCTCTTTAAAAACTGCCTTTCTGTTGCTTCTATTTTATTTTCTCTATCTTTGATTATTCGTTACCGTAAGAATTATAATGTTCTATCTGACATTATGGCAGGGGTAGGCCACGGGAAACATGGAGGAGATGCGTGGAAAGGGACATGAGAGAAATGAAGCTCACTTGGGACGAGCTTGGAAGGATGGCTCAGGACAGAGATAAATGGAAGGAGCTTGTATGTGGCCTATACCCTGCCAAGGGTGAAAGGCATTGATGATCTGACATTATTGGCCGTTTTGAATAACTACGAGGTAAAATCACGATTTCAGAAACCACATGTTCTGTCTACTCTATCAAAATCGTTTATATTATTTGCAATGGTTATTAAGGAATTCAAAGAACTGCATTCGAAAAAAGTTTCACATGGTGTGAAACTCAAAATTCTGAACGTCAAATTTCTCGAAACTATATCTAGATCTAGGTACTGGGCCGATATAGCCTTGTGAATCTAGGGAAACCAATCGTCCTGAATTTACTGCCGAAAAGAGAGGTGGACCACCCAGAGCCTCATGTCACCAGTAGGTCACAGAATATCTATGAAAATTTTAAAAGACAAATTCTAGATAGACAGGGTGTTATTGTGTGTGTGTGTGTGTGTGTGTGTGTGTG